ATATATATATGTAATTTTTGTATTATATATATATATATGAATTCGATCATTTTAATTTTTTTTATATTTTTGCTGCACACATTTTCTCTCTCTATAAAATAATAAATTACATAATTTACTTTAGATAAATTTTAGTGCTGTCAAATCGATTGATCGCATCCAAAATAAAAGATTGTGTTTACATAATATATGTGTGCGTAACACATACATGTATATATTTAAGAAATATTTACGTGTGTGTATATATATTCATATTTATATGATTTATATTATATAATTATATATAAATATATTTCTTAAATATATTAATGTATTCATGTATATTCATGTGTTCAGTATACACACACATATTATGTAATCACAAACTTTTATTTTGGATGCGATTAATCGCGATTAATCGATTTGACAGCACTAATTTTAAATTGTTTTTACTTAGCTCATAAAAAAAAAAAAAATTACTTTGGCAACTAACTGAAATAGAAATACTGAAAAAAATATTGGGGAAAAAAAAGGAAAATATTAACTTGCATGCAGTAATTACTAAAAGAAAATATTTTTGTATTTTATGTTATTTTTGAAAATGTTAGAAAACAAAATGAAAAATAGTAATAAAATCTATAATAGTATATCAATAATAAAGTAACACTGCTTTTCACATTGAAAAATTGACCAAGATTGATCTGTTTGACGAGCAAATCAACCAAACCACAACTCAAATAAATAAAAGTTTGTTTTTATGTAACATTTATTGACAGGTAAATCAGAAACCAGCGATATCACAATGATAGATCCAGCTATTGGTGCGTTCTCAGAAGTGCTGGGTGATTTTCATGTGGAATATGCATTAAACAGTCAGTGGGCGGTGCGTCTAAGGCTGTATGACCTTTAACCCTGAGCTCTGACCTTAACACAGGGCAAACGTGTGTAGAGCGGTTTTGCGTTTGTGTGCAGCTGGAGTCCAGACATCTCCGTGTGACTGTTGTGTTTGCTCTTCAGGGTGTTACTCTCACAGACCTGCAGGAAGCGGAGAAGACAATGAAGACGGAAAACAAGGGGAAGGAGCAGAAGAAAGAAGAGGAGGAGAAAGAAGGGAAGCAAAAGAAGGGAGAGGAAGGGGTGAGAAAGGTTGAGTTTAATCCAAATATCTGCATTTGTTCTGCACTTGGAGAGATAAACCAGTCAGAAATGTAAAGGTTAAAGGTCAAGCGTGTCGTTTTTTTTGATGTTATAGTACTTTCTAAAACTAAACAACTGAATTGATGTCTGAAAAATAGCAGAGGAAGAGAATGAAACCTTGAGAAACCTGTTTGGAAACAGTTATTACCTGTGTGTTTGTGTGTAAATATATGCATATATTTTGTGTATATATATATATATATATATATATATACATACATACATACATATATATGTATATATATATAAGTATA